ACGTATGGGATGTGCTGGGAGATGAATGTCCTATAAAAGTGAGCTTCAGAATTCACCATTTGCAGCTGATGTATTACAGACCAGAGCCACAAAATCAGTTAAATCATTTCCATTAATTATGTAGATTAGTAGATGCCCAGTTATCTTGTTCTTATTTATGTGCCACGATAAGGGCTAATTTTTCTCAGAAGCTGAACTCTCTGAATAGATACAGGATATTGTTATATCTCCAATGCTTATCAAAGCTTTTCCATAAAAACCTTGGAGAAAAAGTAAGGTCAGAACATTGAAGCACTTTCAAAAGTTGGCTGAAAATATGAAGCCACTGCAGTGGGACAGTGACAACTACAAGCATTAGAAGCTGTTTCCAGTATCAGTGTATCTGCCAGGATGCAAGCTGTGTTGGTTCACTTGTCAAACGAATCTCAAGAAGTGTCACAAACTATCTTTTAGGTAAATCTGATAGTTGGATCCTGTTGCAGCAGCATGTGTATAGAATTATAGGAAGTATTCCTGGATGTGATACAATGCTGATGATACTCCAGTGATGGGCACAACCATAAAGCAAAACCAAAATTCTCACTCACTGATGGCAGTACTGATCATGAAGGACTTGTCTTCAACAGCAAGAAATTCCAGGTGAACTCAGGCCAGAATAACTTTTTTGGCTCTATCTATTAAAGTACCAGCATCCACCCCAACCAAAGGAAATACTCCCAGGAAACACAGAATTTGCAAAGATGCCTCAGGTTTTTTAACTTCCAAGCACCACATGTACCAATTTTCCCAAATAAAACATTATCATTAAGATGACTCTTGAGGAAGGATTAGTAATGCCTGTTGAATTTTTAAAAACAGGCACTGTCTGGAGAAGTTTGAATTTCATAATGTAACCCAGGGAAAAAGACAGCCTTGGAGGTCGATGCATTTCCAAAAGGGTGTGCATCATGCGAGATTGCAAAACAATTGCATTTGGCTCTAAAAGTTCAATGCAAATGTGATCCAATTATTTGAACGTAGAACATGAAGCACTTGCACTGGTATCAAGAATGACAAGATTCCATATGTACTGCTTCAGTAAATGATGCATTTTGGAAAAATGATGAAAAACTATTGGAAATTACTTGATGCAAACCACTGATGAGTGTACATCCTAGAGTGCAACGATTCCTGGTGAAAGTATGGGTAAAACTTCAATACTCCAAAATCCGTTACATGTTTATTGTGTCATGAACAGACTACCATGTCTGAAAAAGACTGCACGAGTTTCACTGGACTTGTAAATAGATGGTGCAGATGTCGAAGTCGGTATGTTCAAGATAGGCACGATGTGTTTTTGTCAGGACAAATGCTACTAATTTCAGGAATAGCAAATGATCTGACTGAATATGCTGTGGAAAATTATTTTAGAAGGCTGACCTGATGTGGTGCCAGTGCTTTTGGCTATACAATAATGTATTAAATATCTCAAAGAGGAGTAATTTTTAAAGGTAAACTGGTGCTTGTACCCACCGTTCTTTGCCACCACATATTGTCATAATTACATCAGGGACATTTGAGCATAGATTGAACAAAAGACCTGACATGGAATAATGTACTTTGGCCCAAGATCAACAATGATATTGAGAACATTGTAAGGATGTGCATGGCATAATAGAGTGATCAATTATGCAACACATGGAACCCCTACACCCTTAAGCGATGCCATTGTACCTTGGTTTAAAACTAGACATAGTGAAAATTTTCTGCTAATTACTGATACTTTTCTCAGGTTTTACTCATCAGAAAATTGACGGATACTTGAAGTGTATCCCTGGCAGGTGCAACAGATGCAATATTCAGTATCTCCAGTGCAGCTAAAGAGATTAAATCTGACAACAGGCCACAATTTACAGGCAGACCTTTTCAGGAATGTATATGCCAAATGGGGCGTAAACCATGAAATAAACTCGCCATAAGATCTGAAGATCTTACAGAGGTGAATGTTTGTAATGTTAAAGCTGTAATCATGAAATGCAGAGCAACAAACAGAATTTCCTGTATTGTCATGGGCTGGAAATTATACTTAGTACTGAGATGTCCTTCGAATTTTCTGGCAAAAAAGCCACCTACATCCATTCACGTAACCTTGCACACTTTCATTCTTGAGTCAGCCAATCATTCGTGCCTTTTGACATGAGAAATCAACTTGTTTTTCTCTTGGCTGACTTCCCATTCTTCATACTCTGTATTCAGAGTTTCAGATGAATTGAAATTAACAATGTTATCTTGCACCAAGCTTGCCCAAAAGCTCCGTGCTCATTACCTGACATTGTGCAATGCTGTCCTAAAGTCCTTAATTTTAAAATTCTCGTTCTTCTTTCCAAGTGCCTTAATGGCTATGCCACTCCCTATCTGCATGATGCACACTCCTAAACCTTTTGGAAATTCCTCAACATCAAAGACTGGCTCTTTCCCTGGGTCACATATTGTAGAATTCAAATTTCTCCTGACAATGCCTGCTAAAATAATTTGAACAGGTGATATTGATCCTTCCTGGAGTCGTCTGAATGATTCTTTTATCGGGGAGAAAATAGTATGTGTAGTGCTAGGAAGTTTAAAAAATCCAAGGCATCTCTGGAAATCCTTTTTGTACTGTGTTTACTTTGTTTGGGGTGGATGCTGAAAATTGAATAGATAGAGTTGAAAAAGTTAATCTGACCTACATGCATGAAGTAATGCATTTTGAGAGTTCTGGTAAGGGAACGATGTACGCAATGAATGGTATGCCCCTATGGAGTAATGAGAATTCTGAGAAACAAAATGATATTGGTGTACAAGACCATAAAACCCCAGAAAGTGTCAGCATCGGTAGACCACGTGGTGAAGAAGGCATACAGGATGCTTGCCTTCGTTAACCAGGATGTAGAATGTAAGAACAAGAAAACCTTATTACGACTTTATAAAATATTTGTTAAGCCTCAGATGAAATACTGTGTGTAGTTCTGGTTGCCACATGATCAGAAACACATGTTTGCACTGGAGAGGGTGTAGAGGAGATTCACTAGGATGTTGCCTGGGATGAGAAGTCTCAGTTATGAGGAAAGACTGCATAGGCTAGGTTAGATTTTCCTGGAGCAAAGAAAGCTCAAGGAGGATCTGATTGATGTATACAAAACCTATGAGAGGCAGGATAGATAGAATGAATCTCTTCCCCATGGCAGACATGTCTAAAACCAGAGGGCATAAGTTTAAGGTGAGCAGTAAGTGGTTTGAGTCATACTCGACACAGAAGAAAACAGTTGTGGTGTTGGAGGTCAGTTGTGTCAGCTCCAGGGTATCTCTGCAGGAATTCCTCTAGTTAGTGACCTAGGCCCAACCATCTTCAGCTGCTTCATCAATGACCTTCTCTCCATCATACAATCAGAAGTGAGAATATTCTATGATGATTGCACAATGTTAAGCACCATGTCAGACTCCTCAGATGCTGTAGCAGTCCATTTTAAAGTGCAGCAAGACCTGGACACTATCCAGACTTGTGATGAAAAGTGGCAAGTGATGTTTATGTCACACAAATGCCAGGCAACGACCATCTCCAAGAAGAGAGAATCTAACCATTGCGCCATGACATTCAATGACATTGCCATTGTTGAATCATCCAATATCAACAACAAAGGATGCTGGAAATCTGAAACAAAAACAGAAATAGCTTGAGAAGCTCAGCAGATCTGACAGCATCTGTGGAGAGAAAGCAGAGTCAACATTTCAGGTCTACTGACCCTTCTTCAGAACCAAGTCCTGTTCATTGACCAGAAACTGAACTGGAGTTGCCATATAAATACTGTAGCTAAAAGAACAAGTGAGCAGCTAGGAATCCTGCAGTGGGTATTTCACCTGATTCCCAAAGCCTGTCTACCATCTACACTGCTCAAATTAGGAGTGTGATGGAATACTCCCCTCTTGCCTATCTGAGTGCAGCTGTAACAACACTCAAGAAGCTTGACATCATTGACGAGAAAGCAATCTGCTTGATTGGCATCACATCCACCATCAACATCACACCCACCTTCACTGACATTCTGCAGCCGCAGAAGATGTACTACAGAAATTTACCAAAGATCCTTAACAAGTGCCATCCAAACCCATGACCACTACTGCCAGATGGACAAGAGAAACAGATATGTGGATACACCACCACTTGTAAGTTCCCTTCCAAGTCACACACCAATCTGACTTGGAGATATATTGCTGTTCCTTTAATGTTCTTGGATCAAGATCCAAGAAATCCCTCCCTAACACCATTGTGAGTTGGACCAAATGGATTGCAGTGGTTCAGGAGACAGCTTGCCATCACCTTCTCCAAGGTAACTATTGATAAGCAATAAATGCTGGTCCAGCCAGCAAAGCTCACTCTCAATTTATGAATAAATCCCTCTTGCTTCCTGTGAACAAAACTCCACATTTTGTTTTGTTGTCCTAGCTTGAACTAAATCAATTCTCACATATTGTAAGTTGGGATTGTTTACTGCTAATACATCAAACAGGGATCTGTTGCTGAAAAGTGCTGATTCTATGATTCTGTGAACAGTGCTATTGAGGTCTATGGATATCTGGTTTGTTTATATTTTGGAGGAAATTAGATCTGGCAAAGTATTGTAACACCATGCTTCTGTCTGGGAAAAAAAAGATGGACCAATATAAATACACAGACACTGCAAGCCGATGTGAAGACCCAGTGGGTTCTGGGGGCTTGCCAACCTAATACAGACTCATTTTAGGAGCTAAGTAGAAACTTGAAATATTATATTTCACATTTTTTAACATTTTTATCTTGGATAAAAACACAAAATGGGACATTCTGAGAAATGAGAATTGCTTCTTGAGAAACAGAGAAACATAGATGTTGATACTAGATTTTGGTCTTGGTCTGAATAGGATCAGCTGACGCTTTTTCAAGAATAGCAACTATAAAACCTGTTGAGTGAATGATATTGAGTAACATCTTCCCTTTCATTTTGCAGGCACAGCTTTCAATTCTGCATGAAAAGATTGACCACCTAGAACGCCTATTAGCTGAAAACAATGAAATAATTTCAAACATCAGGGACTCTGTTATTAATTTAAGTGAATCTGTGAAAGATAACCAAGGGGACCATGAAACTTCAAATTCAAGTAAAGGACTTTTCTCTAAAGTCTTTGGATCTTCCTCTTCCAGTACTTCAATTGATGCAGAGGATTGTCAGTTTGCCTTGAAGGGCTATGCAAAAGAGTCAAATTTGCAAGTAAGTAACAACTATGTTTTATGGACATACAGCAACTGGATTTGTTTCATTCCAAAGCACTAATTAGTTTCCAACCAATAGCTTGGTTTTGACAGTTTTCAAAATAATTACTAACGGTTTCTCTAAAATGAATCCAGCAAACAGATTACATGCAACCATTGGGGATACAGGACCTGCATTACATGCTGCATAGTTCCTGGCTTCTAACATGATCTTGTAGCCATAGTATTTATGAGGCTAGTCCAGTTCGCTTTCTGGTCAATTATAACTCTCCAGAGTAGTGATAGTGGGAGGTACAAGATGTGGCAGCAATTGAACGTCAAGGGACAATGGTTAAATTCTCTCTAGTTGGAAATGATCATGACTGAATTGCTATCCTGTTCTTTTGTTCCAAATAGAAGGTGGCACAGTGGCTCGGTGCCTGGTGCTGCTACCTTATGGTGCCAGGGGCCAGGGTTCAATTCCAACCTCAAGTGACTGCAGAATTTCACATTCTCCCTGTGTCTGTGTGAGTTTCCTCCCACAGTCCAGGTTAGATGGAATGGCCATGCTAAATTGCCCATAGTGTCTCGGGATAAGTAGGTTAAGTGGATTAGTCATGGGAAATGCAGGGTTACAGCGATAGGGTAGGGAAGTGAGTCTGGGCGGGATGCTCTTTGGAGAGTCAGTGTGGATTTGTTGGGCCAAATGGCCTATTTTCACACTGTATGAATTCTACTGAAGGTGATTAGGCCTGGGATACATTCCTGCTGAGATTTCTGACATCTAACAACAATTGCCATCTTCCTTTGTGTTGGGTATGATTCAAAAAAGCAGACAGTTTTCCTTGATTCCCATTGACCATAGTTTTGCAAGGACTCCTTGATGCAAATGTTACTTACCACTTATAAAGCCAACTTTAGAGTTTGTCCAGGTCTTGCTGCATATGGACATAGAGTACTTCAGTATTTAAGGAGTTGTGGATGGTGCTGAACATTATGCAATCGTTAGCAAACACCCCCACTTCTGACCTGTGATGAAGGGAAGGTTACTGATGGATATGGACTGGATAAACTAATTGACTACCAAACTGTGGAGGATGTGTTTCCAGAGTGACAAAGCGTGTAAAATTCCATTTAGACAACTAAGGTGACAATTTGTCTGACTGTGTTTTTCAGCAAAAAACACTTGACATCAGGTCACACCAATGACATAAAATAATTCTCTTTATTATAACACACTTAACTTTAACAATTGACAGAGAAACGAAAGGATTACAAATGTATTTCTATGTGACTTAAACTGTACCCCTTTATAATGCACACCACACACACGCTTACTCACATTAAGACAGTGAAAAGACAGAAGGTTGACGAACGGTATTCGTGGAAAAAAATAAAGACAGGGAACAAAATTCTGAGGCTTAGAAGTCCAGATTTCAAGGGTGGTTAAATTATCTCTCATAGTTCCTGATGATTTCAGCAATGAAGACAGTAAGTTGTCTGTAAAAAGGATGCTCGTTCTTCACTTCAATAGTTGGCTCAGTGGATCTAGGTCTTTCCTTGTTAATTCCTTGAGAATCTATCTGTTAACTGTCACTAATCGATGCCTTTTTCATGCAACATCTCTACCAATCAGAGTGCATTTGCCAGTGAAAAGCGTTGTCCTGTCATGCAGCATAAATTTTAGTTTTTTTCTTGAATTGATATTCTTATGATATGCCCTGAAGAGAGCAGGGTGAAATGCTTCAACAAAATGTGTGTTCTCAGCAATTCTCAATTCTCAAATCAAATTCTCTGTACTTCCAATCAACTACTTATTTGTCCATTCTGCTAGTTTATTCATATGTTATTTTAATTAGTAGGTGCTTCTCAATATTTGGTGTCATCCACAAACTTAGAACTTTGGATTTTGATTTGAAGGTCAAAATTGCTCCTATATATTGTGAATAGCAATGGTCCCAATTCTGGTCTGTGTGGAACACCATTTCCCATCTGCAGTCACGCTGAACAACTTTACTACCATTGTCTGCTTTCTGTCTTGAGACCAGTTGGCAATCCACTTTGGCTCCAGTTTCTGTGACAGTAGTCATTAGGCTGTTAATGCCACTTTATCGAACATTCTTTGAAAATCCAGATTAGTCATATTTGGTGCATTACGATTGTCTACTCTGAGTTACCTTCTCAAAAAAAATTCAGTTAGGCTACATTAATGTTTGCCAATATTGTGGCCCATTTTGTTTTCCAAATTCTAATCTCAGCCATGCATAATGAGTTTAATGAGTTTTTCTTTAACCTATTACCTCTTGAAAATACTGATGACTTTCTCTATCATTATCTAAAATGCATATTATATGATGTTCTTTATTGCCGAGATATTCCCTGACTTTTACTCCTGTTATTTGTTCTGGTTCAATCCCTACCACTTGATCCAATGGCAAATCTCCATTCGTGTTAAGGAGAAGAGTTGTGTTGGCTCAGAGTTAACAAAAAAGCAAAGAACTACGGATGTTGGAAATTGGAAACAAAATCAGAAATTACTGGAAAAACTCAGGTCAGGCAGCATCTGTGGAGAGAAAGGATAGTTAACATTTCAGGTCCAGTGACCCTCCTTCAGAATTGAAGCTTGAGTTTTTCTGGTAATTTCTGATCTTGGCTCAGAGTTAACTTTGCTTCTGTTTCCACAAATGCTGCCAGACCGGCTGAGTTTCTGTCTGCACTTTATATTTTATTTTGGATCCTTATCATCCGCACTCCTTTGTTTACATTTTACAAATCGTCTCTCTTTTTTGGGTTTTTTTCACGTCTCGAGTCAGAAGGGCCTCCTGTACATTCTGTAGGAACTCCATTTTCTTAAACACTTTTAAGCACTTCTCAACCACTACTATTTCTGTCAATTAATATTAGGTTAGTTAAAATCCACAATATTTTAAATGTAATTCCCTATTTTTTCTGCATATCTCTTTCTTCACCTTCTTCTGTTCAATAAAGGATTAGCTGACATCATGAGTAAACTCTGCCCATCAGGCTATAAGGAAATGTCCCTGGGAGGAGCTAGCCAGTTTTTAGTGTGTGCTTAAGTAACTGTTGTTAGTGTTAACAGCATGTGGCTAAAGTAATAGTAAGTTTTACTTTCCTAAATTGGGTCAGATTCCCCAGAAAACAACATTTACTGCTGTTCGCAGAACAGGCATACAGCATTATAAAACTGTCAATTCTTAGGTGGTCTACACATATAAGTTTGATCCTATATTATCTTCTGTCGCAATCTACACGGATTCTACTTTGATTTTGTTTATAGTGGTGTTCTTTTTCTGTACTAATGTTAAATTTTCTGTTGTTGTCTCTTTATTTCTAATTTATACTAGATGTTGGATATCTACAACATTTTACCTTTTGACAATCCAGATGGTGGAGTTTGGAAACAGGGCTTTGATATCACTTACAATGAAAATGAATGGGATGATGAGCAACTACAAGTCTTTGTTGTACCCCATTCACACAATGATCCTGGTGAGGACAGACATTTTAAGGGTTGGAACTTCCTCATAATTTTATAAAATTAATACACTGTCTAGAAATCATTAAATTAATCATTAGTATTATTTATTTTTTATATTAAGTTAGCTTTCATTTTTCTGCTGAAAAATTAACGTGGTATTTATAATCCTGATTGAAAGCTGTCAAGATTACTAGTAAATCCACTGGGGTGTGTTGTATGACCATTTTGCCATGCATCCTATTCACCAGGATCTGATTACATGTCTGACTCCTAACAGGGTGATAGTGTACGTGTAAATTATCATCTAAAGACCATTTTTTTTTTGGGGGAGTACTGTCGTAAGAATGTTTCCAGAACAAAATATCCATTCCTCACAAAGCTACTGGAATCCTTTAAAGTGGTCAACGAGTTAATATATGACAGTTTTCTGTTGATTTTGAAAACATCCCTTAGCAGTGTTTCACATGCATGTTTCATCAGCATAGAAAGCCAAAGCTTTTTGAATTGATTATAAGTGTTATTAAGGTGAAAGGTAAGGTAAGGGAAGGGAAGGAAAGGGAAGCACCGTTCAAAGGGGGCTCGTTTTCCCTTTTGGAATGGCTGTGTCTGTCCTCCTCTTCTTCCACCTTTCACTGTAGCTCCAAGAAGTTGTTGGAATGCAAAAGCAGTCATGCCCCATTAAGTCTCCTTAGTGTGCTGGGCAAACCTGCTGAGCATAACCGTTAGGTTTCCTGCCCTCAGCAACTTGAGGGAGGTGATGGCACAGTGGTATTGTCACTGAACTGGTAGTCCACAGACCCAAAACATATTCTGGGTATCCGAGTTTGAATCTCACTAGAACAGATCATGGAGTGGAATTTGAATTTAGTAAAGATCTGGAATTCAAATCTAATGATGACTGTAATCTCTTATCGACTGTCGTAAAAACAAACCAACCCACTAATGCCTTTTAGGAAGGAAAAATGGAATCCTTACATGGTCTGGCCTAAATGTGACTCCAGATCCATATTAATGAGTTGATGCTTAATTATCCTCAGAAATATAACTGAATGGCTTTCTAGGCTATCAACTGCTGAAAACCCAAAAAATGATTGCAACAGGATGGACAACCTGGCATCGAATAACATACCAGAAGTGTCAATGGCAAACTCGCCCATGTCAACCCTGCAAAGTCCTCTGTCAGGACATACCCAGCAGAGATGGTGGCACAATGGTATACATTTGAAAGGGAGTTCCAGTGGAGCCCTCATGACTGCATGACTGGACTGCATGATGTATCATGGCATCAGGTCAAAACATGGGCAAGGAAACCTGCTGCTGACAATGACGTAACTCCATCCCCCGCCTCTCCCTTCGGCTAATGAATTGGTACACCTCCGTGTTAGATACCACTTGGATGAACTGAGGATTGCAAGAGTGCAGAATGCCCTCTGGGTAGGTGACTTAAATGTCCACCACTAAGAGTAGTTTGGCATCAGCATTACTGGCTAAGCTGATAGAGTTGTAAAGAACATTGCTGTTAGACTGACTCTGGCAGGTAGTGAGGGAACTAATGAGGCAAAAATGTACTTAACCTCATCCTTACTAATCTGCCTGCTGCAAGATGCAACTGCCCGTGACTTATTGGTCAGTGTGACCACTGTACAGTCCTTAGAGTCAAAAAGTCTCATCTTCACAATGAAATTACCCTTCTTCCATCTTGTTTGGCACTATCTCTGGACTAAATGAGTTAAATTTCAAACAGACCTAACAATTCGAGACTGAGCATCCTCGAGGTGTTGTAGCCCATCAGAAGCAGAATTAGACTTCAACGCAATCTATAACCTCACCGCTTGGCATACTTCTCACTCCACTGTCACCTTCATGCTAGGGCATCAACTCTGGTTCAGTGAAGAATGCAGGAGGACATGTCAGGATCAGCATTGGGCATACCACAAAACAGCACTACTTACATGCCGAGTAGCAAGCAATAGAAAGGCCTTAGTGATGCTATTACCAACAGATCAGGTAAAAGCTCTGCAGTTCTGACTCATCCAACTGTGAGTGGTAGTAGACAATTAAATAGTGCATTGAATAAATATCCCTATACTTGATGACTGGAGAGCCAACACATCAGTGCTAAAGATAAAGCTGAAGCATTTGCTACAATCTTCGCATTGTATACTCCTCTTGTACTCTGCAGTTTTGACATGAAGTTTCCCTTTGTCTTTTTATTTGTCGAAACCTGTACTCTCCCTATTTCCTTCTTGAATGCAGCCCACTGTTCCAATACAGATTTGCCTCAAAGTGTCTTGTTCCAGACAATTCTGGCCAAATCATATCAAATCTTATTAAAATCAGCTGCCTTCTTGTTTAGAACTTTGATTTTATGCCTATTCTTGTCCTTTTCCCAACCAACCTTGAATCTAGCAAAGTTATGATCACTATCTGTAAAATTCTCCTCCACTGATAATTTAACCACTTTCCTGACTTCATTACCTAAAATTAAATCCAGGGCAGCCCCTTCTCTTGTAGGGCCTTCTATGTATCGATTGGGAAAGGTCTTTTGGACGCATTTTAAGAATTCTGCTGGCTCTAAACTTTTCATGCTATGACTGCTGCAGTTAATTAACAAATTTGTTATATTTCTTATGGTATGGAAGGATTTTCTTGTGAGGAGAGATTGAATAGATTGGGCTTTTACTTGTTGGATCTTGGGACAATTAGAGGAGACCTCAGTTAAACATAAGAGATTCATAGGGGACTTAACAGAGTAAATGCAGAGTGTTTGTTTCCCCTTGTTGGAGAATCTAGAACCATTAGACATGTTCTCATAGAATAAGAGTCACCCATTTAAGACAGCTGATAGTATTTTATCTTGGGATGGGATTCTCTGGAATTGTTTACTGCAAAGGGCTGTTAAGGTTGGGCCGTTAAGTACATTTAAGGTTGTGATAGACCAATTTTGAATCAGTAAGGGAATCAAGGTTTGTGGGGGGGAAAGGCAGGAAAGTGGTGTTGAGGATTATCATATCAGCCATGATCTTGTTGAAAAACTGAGCAAATGAGGCTTGATGGGCCAAAAGGCTTATTTGTCCTCCTGTGTCTTATGGAGTGTGGCTCAACAACACTTGAGAAGCTTGACATGATCCATGTTAAGGCAGCCTACTTGATTGATACCAAATCCACAAACGTTCAATTTCTCTACCACCAACATTGAGTAGCTGCAAGGTGTGGAATCTACAAGGAACACTGCAGAAATTGCCAAGGCTGCCTTGCAGCAGCTTCCAAATGAATAACCAATTGGAAGAAGAAAAGCAGCAACTACGTTGGAACACTACCACTTGCAAGTTCCCCTCCATGCCACTCACCATCCTCTTTATGTCTTCAGTGTTGCTGGGTAAGAATTCTGGAACTCCCTCTCCAATGACATTGTGGGTCTGCTGCACCAAATAGACTATAGCTGCTCAAGAAGGCAGCTCACTGTGCAATCTCAAAGGCAATCGAGGACAACCAATAAATGCAGGCCGAGATAGTGATTTATTAACACCTTTGAATGAATAAAATATACTTTGAACATTGTCTATCCTGGCATGTGAAGACTGATTCCAGAGAAACTAACCTAAGTCCAGTGACCTTGAAGGCATGTCAGCAGTACAAGGTTGGATCTGTAAAACTCAACAAGACACAGATACAGTCCTGGTTACCCATTGCATCATGCTTCATTTCCAGCTGTTTATGTTTGTCTTGTCATTGGACCTAGGTAGGTTAGGACGCAAGAATGAGGCTGACAATGCACAGCTCTCCCTCGCTATAAATCAATTTATACGCAAATTATGTTCTTCATGTTTCCGTCTATCATCTGTCACAATTTCCAGAATTATGAGTGAATTATATAACAGCAAGTATGGTTTGACATGAAGCTGTGTACCTGTGCACCAGCATCTCAGGCCATTGTGTTGCTTTATAACTGGAAGGCAGGAGTGGAATTTGGCAGCCTGTTGAACAATTGTGCACTCCTTTTCACAACCACACTCATCACTCCCTAGTGAAAGGAAGGATCTATAAAAGGTGTCCTAAACATTGTCTGCTTCATCTCCCAAGACAGAAGACCTCAGGTTTCAGGGATCCTATCAATATGATCCTAAGTCTATCTCAAAACAAAAAGGAGACAGCAGTAGCCATTGTTGCATGGAATTCATATAACCGGTGTACGATGCCACTATGCCAATTGACCCGCAAGAAGAACTGTCCTTGTTTGTAGAGATTTAACTAGGTAAAATGTCAAGGTTGCTGTGTGACTTGTCTACCTAACAGTGCCAGCTTCAGGATATTGGTGTAGATTACACGTTCTTTTGTAGTGACCGTGGAAACAAAGTGAAGCTAGCATATATTTTGCTGACATGAACTATTCCATCATTAAGTTGACTTGCCTTCCCAAATATACCAATGATAGTTTAATCATACGTTAGGTCCCCTTGCACAAGAGGAGAAATGCTTGTGTTTGTGTGCCCTACTGTGATTAACTCTGATGCAGGCAAGGATGAACACTCCACTCATTGATTGCTACTGTGCCAAAGTCTAACTAGCTAATCATCCTTGGTGTCTCCAATGCAATTGATGGTTGAAATCATAAGGTTTGAGGAGGGATCTTTGAAGGGAAACAGGGTTTTGTCCATTCTAACAGCAATTGTCTCTCCTTTCTGAAGTTGTTTGAGCATGAAGAGAGCTCTCTCAACTCATTTTCAAAACTTTTTTTTTAAAAATTCTGTCATGGACGGTGGGTGCTGCTGGCTGGGCCAGTCTTTATTGCCTATCTTTAGTTGCTATTGAGAAGGTGGAGTTAGTTGTCGTCTTGAACTGCTGCAGTCCATCTACTGTATGTAGACCCACAACGCTGTTGGGGAGAGAATTCCACAATTTTGATCCAACAACATTGAAGGAATGGTGATATATTTCTAAATCAGGATGGTGAGTGTCTTGGAAGGGAACTTGTAGCTAGTGCTGTTCCCAAAATTGTTCACTACTCCAGCGGTGGTCTAACCAGTGCCTCGAATAGTTTTGACAAAACTTCCTATTTTTGTACTCCATACCCTTCAAAGTGAAGGCTAACCTTCCATTTTCCTTCTCTATGACTTGCTGAAATTGTATGCTAGCGTTTTGTGATTTCTCCATGAGGACTCCCAAAAAACTCTCAGTGCTATAGTTTTCTGCAGTCTTTATTTAAATAATATTTAGATTCTCTAATCCTCCTGCTAAAGTGGATAAGTTCAAAACTACTGTGAGGACACAGGAAATAAGAGTATCCCCTCAGGCTTACTCTGCCATTCATTAAGATCAAGACTGATTTAACAAATCAGATACACCTTCTCGTGCAACCCCATATCCTCATTTTTTTAAAAATTTTAAGTATCCAAAAACCCATAAGTCTTTAACTTGAATCCACTCAATGACTGAGAATCCAGTGCCAGTTACAGTCATGAATTCTTAAGCTTTTCATCCTTTGAGTGGGCAAATATCTCATCTAAGTCATAAATAGCTCACCTATTATTCTGCGCCTGGTTCTCAAGTTCCTGATTCCTTAGTGGAAAATGTCCTCCTGGCATCTATCTTGACCATCCTTTTAAGAATTTTATATGTTTTCTCATGGGAAGGCATAACTGATGAGTCTGTGGAATTCTCTGCCATGGAAGTGATTGAGGCCATTACATTGAATGTTTTCAAGAAGGAGTTAGATATAGTTCTTAAGGCTAAAGGAATCAAACTGTATGGGGAGACAGTGAGAATAAGGTAGTGAGCTGGATGATCAGCCATGATAATTTTAAATGGCGGAGCAGTTTCTAGGGCCAAATGGCCTATTCCTGCATCTATTTTCTATGTTTAGATAAGCTACAGATAATGGACAGAAGAGCAGGATTAGCTGAACTGCTCTTACAGAGAGTTCTCATGGACGTGATAGGCAGAATAGCCTCCCGTGTTTCTAGTACTGTAATATGCAGGCTTCATACATCAGTTCCTAATATATTTCTTAATCATTTATTTGCATTACCATCATTAAACTTACTTTATTTTACCCTGCAATGATTGCAGGCTCAAAAGGGCTGAATGGCTTATGCCTGCTCCTATTTTTTCATGCTTCTATGTTTCACTTTTTCTTAACTCGAGAGAAAATAAATCTACTCAATCTTTTCTGATGGCACAATCGCCTTATCCCAGAAGTTAATCTAGCAAATCTTTCTTCCATGCAAGTTTATGTATTTTTGTGGAAGGAGTTCAAAATTGCATGCCGCAGAACTGCCAATTAGGTGTTACATAAATGCAAGTCTTTCCTTCTCGTGGCAGTAAATACAAAGGAATTAATTTGGAGAAAGTGTATGAAAAGTGCCACCTCTTAAAAAGAGTTATTTGTTTCCTGACATTTGAATGAGAGCAAGAAGTTGAAATGTAACCATCTACATTTGCCCTTGAATGAGTATTTAAATTAGTGGCATCTCTGGGGTGTTTGCTGCTCATGGAAGATTCAGGCTGATGCTGCAGTCAGAGTCAAATAGCTTGCAGTGGACAGAGTGAAAGATTCTCTAGAGTTTCAAAGATTGAAAGGTTGTCTAATTGAACCTTAGTAAAAACTTAAAGGAATAAATAGAGTAGATGCAGGTTAGAAGGTTCTTATTGGGGAGTCTGGAACCAGGAAACACAATTTAAAATTAAGGTGGATACCACTTGGGTCCAAGATGAGGAGAATTTTTTTTTACACAGAGATTTGTGAACCTTTGGAGTTCTCTACCACAGAGCGCTATGATTGCTCAGTCTTTGAATATGTTGAAGGTAGAAATTTAATAGATTTCTGATTACCTATGGGCATAGTGTTTTAAAAGGCATTAAAAAGTTCAATTAGCCATGATTGTACTGAATGGCAAGAGCAGACTTGAAGGGCTCATTGGCCTAATGCTATTAAAATGTTCCTTAATGGTTTTCCTGGTGTGCAACTGGGCACATGAGACACACTTGATCAATTCCTTCTTGTTGTAAACCTAGCAATAAAGCTTTGAAAATGTTATTAGTAAATATTAGTAGATAGGCTGAACCTTGGAAGGAGATTTAATTGAAATTAATAACATTTTAAGATACTGATGCTCTTGATTATTTCTAGGTTGGCTGAAAACATTTGATGAATACTACAGAGATCAGACCCAGCATATCCTGAACAACATGGTGGCGAAGTTACAAGAGGATGATCGCAGGAAATTCATTTGGTCTGAGATTTCATACTTTTCAAAGTGGTGGAGCACTATAGATAGCCAGAAGAAAGATGCTGTCAAAAGGTTAACAATTATTAAGAAACTATGTTAGCTTAATGCTATAACATGGCTATAATAATCGGTGTCGGAGCTTCTGAACATTAACCTGTTGCTCTAGACAAAATGTAGTGAAAAATGCAGTTTTTTTTCTACCATTATTATTTCATTAATAGTTTCAAAAATATTAGAAACTACACAACAGATTGCATTTAATACCTCAGCCATGCTCTCCAACTCCATCTCTAAATCCCCATTTTGGTCCCTATTTGCTGTGATTGTTTTGTGCCTTATTGCTATTTCTATGCCTGCAGAACACATTGAATTCCCTTATTGATGTCAGTATATTCACGTATTCTGTCTTTGCTACATTTCCCTTCTAAGCTTTGTATATTCCACCTTTATTCTCATTTGTGTTAACAAACTGATCTGTTCATACATACCCCTTTTATTGTTTTACCTTTTATACCACATTTCAGTGAGTTTGACAAATTCCAAGTGATGGACCCACTATTTGTGGTTAACCAGAAAATCCAAATATAACATCAGTTTTAAAGAAAAAGAATATAATTGGACAAAGGCAGGTGGCATGGCAGAATATAGAACAGAATATAAAAATGCAGCAAATAATGACTGAGAGATTAATAAACATGGAAATATTACAGTATGTAAAATGTAAAAGCAGTTATTTAAAAATTGTACATGTTTAATAGGTACTCCATATGTGTTAATATTTAGTATTATAGGTGATAATTCCTGACTGACCAAAGTCCCCATTCACCCCATGAGGTCTGCTTTCTTTTGATATTTACTTGTGGCCATTTGCTTGAAATATGCTGGTTAATGTGGAAAAGGCAGGTGTGACATTGATGTAGCATGATGCCTCTTTGATTGTTCAGCTGTTGCCTACTGTAACAAGCTGCCTGTCTCTCCACCTGCTCCAAAAAGTAATATAAGTAATATAAGAATGCCATCATCGTCAGCAATAATTTACTAATGATTATGATTGTCCACCTAGGAAATTCCATGTCACTGGCCAAGGATTCTGTGGATTCTCATGCAGCTGATGAGCCTGATCCTAGAATGGTCTAACCAACCACACATTTGGCAGGGGTTTCTGGAAGGTGGATGTAGTCATTGTCCTTGAGAGGGTTGACATTCGTTTCACCGGTTCCTTTTCAATACTTCCTCTTGCCAATGGGTGTTCTCAAAGAACAGGCGTTTTCTACAAGTTACTTCTTCTAAAGACATGGCTCCTATGCATTTACATCTATATTACATTCCTCAAGGGAAGCCTTCAGAGAGTTTTTTGAAATGATTTCTTTGCCCTCTTTTCATTTGAGTGTCTTCCTTGAGGTGGAAGAAGATTTGCTTTGACATCAGAACTCGGGTATCCTAAGCATGTGGCTGACCCAGCAGAATTGGTTCTGGATGATCATGGCTTCAGTCCTGGTGCTCCTAACTTCTTCAATTTGCTGATGTTAATACACCTGTCCTCCCAGCTAAAGTGGAGAATCTATCTCAAACAACATAAATGATACTCGTCAAGGGTCTTGAGGAGGTGCCTATAGAAAGTCCAGGTTTTGGAGCCATATATGAGAGTTGGAAGGAAGACTGCCTTTTATGCAAGGATTTTGGTATCGACACAGATGTTACAGTCATTGAAAACTCTCATCCTTACGCATCCAAAGGCAATGCATGCAGATTGGATATTGAATCTCCACATCGACGTCAACCTTAGATGAGAGGTGGCTTCACGGGTAAGGAGAATGTTCCCTATTTGGGAGAATTTCTCTGTTGATCTTCATGGGGTGATGGATTGGAACTTTACCTAGGATGGATTGGTAAAGGAGTTGAGGTTGAGTCTTCAGTACGCTCCTGCAAAAATATTAAGTGAGGCTTGAAGATTCCCTTCTGAGAAAGCAGAGATGACATTATCATCCGATTACTGAAGATCCACAAGTGAGGTCAATAACGTTCTCTTCTTGGATTTCGGCCAGTTGAGGTTGAAAAGTTTTCTAACCATCCTGTAGACAATGCAACACCTTTGGGAAGCTTGTTCTTGACAAGGTGAAGAATGGTGGCAATGAAGATGAGGAAAAGCTGGGCCAATGAAACATCCCTGCTTGATTCCTATCTTGATCTCAAAAGGTTCTATTATGTTGTCGTTGGTGAGGGCCATCAATGACAGCTTGATGTGACAAAGACTGAGGATTTTGATGAATTTCACTGGACAGCCAGCCTTTGACAGGTTCTCTGTAGCACTTCCCAATTGACTGAGTCAAAAGCCTTGGTCAGATCGATGAGGGGCCATGTAGGTCTTGTTCCTGGCAATCGTCTTGGAGTTGGCAAGCGGTGCAAATCTCGTCCGTAGTTCCACAGTTTGTTCGGGAGCCACGCTAGCTTTCAAGAAGGATTTTTCTCAGAGACTGGGAGGGATGCCGAGCGAGCTTTCAGGTGAATATCTTCTTGGCAATGGAGAGCAGGGAGATTCCTTGGTAGTTCCCACAGTGTACTTTGTCTCCTTTCTTGTCTCCTTTGATGATGGTGGCAATGGTAGTGTCCCTGAGGTTGATAGGAATTTTTTATTTGTCCCAGGTTTTCAGGAATAGTTGATGGAGGTGACGCATAAACTCTGCGCCTTCAAGTTTGAAAATCACTGCTGGAATCCTGTCTTCTCCTGCAACTTTTCCATTCTTCACATGTCCAGTGGTGATTTCAACTTCTGCCACATTAGGTGTGAGTCCAAGATCATCTTTGATAGAAAGTTGGAGGGTTTTCTCAAACATATCCTCGTTGATGATTAAATTGCAACTAAGGAGTTCTTTGAAGTGTTTTCTCCATCAGAGGCTGTTTTCTGTCTCAAGAGGATTCCATCCATGCTCCACACTGGTTTGAGACTGAGTGTTGGGTCTGTACATTGCCTTGGTGGTACTGAAGGAGCATCATGCTTGTCAGGAACGAGTTGCAGCTTCTTAGCTTTCTCAGTTCACCATTAGTTTCTGATTTCCCTTGTTATTCTTTGTGATTCTACTTTGCTGTCCTCTTTGTCTATCTGGCAGGCTTTTTGCCAGGCATGGAGTATTTTCCTCCTGTTGTTAGTGGTTTTGGATGATGTGTAATTTTTGTAAAACCAGTCTTAGTGTTTCCTCGGAGATAGTAGGAACTGCCGATGCTGGAGTCTGAGATAACAAGGTGTGGAGCTGGAGGAACACAGCAGGCCAGGCAGCATCAGAAGAGCTGGAAAGCCGACATTTCGGGTCTGGACCCTTCTTCAGAAAATGGTCAGAAATTCAGACAGTGTTTCCTCGTCTGGTAGCCAATGGTTACTTCACAGCATGAGATGATGCTGTCCTCAGCTTTTTCCAGAGTATCTGGACACCTTTTGAAGTGGGAATGCTGTTGCACATTACAGACACAAGTTCCTTGATAGAGGTAGATCCAGTTCGAGTGGCAAAGAAGCCTGAATGACTGATGATCCGTTTACTTATGCAACATTCATCCACCATTGCAGCTATTGATATCACATGAATAGCTTCCACCTGAATCATCATAGAGGGCATGTTTTGGATTATGCTATGTTTGGTTCCTTCCCTCTGATCTTATTATTCTGTGGAGCCCTACCAGAAGTTGAACTCTTGATGGCATTGCTCTTGGGATCAACAGAACACTGAAGCCTCTCCATCACAAAAAGGTGGCAGTCTGTAACTGAGCACTGAAGGTCCCAGCTGCTAAGAAAGCAGTCCAAAGGCCATAACAGCAGATGCAGGGGATAGGTGTATGTACCTATGTACGAAGCGACCTGGCAAACAAATGCAAGCCAAAGCGGTGTCTGAGCTCCAAAGTAAAGAGCTGAAGGGCTGATTTGGTGTATGAATTGGTCTATGAGCAGGCATGGAGATGTGGTGAGACTTCTGGTTTGTTGATGCCAATGTATGTAGCCGAAAGTTTGAGGAAGCTAGTGGCCGTCAAGAAGCAGTTGGAAAATGGCTGAGACAAGAATTAACCACGCTGTAGACTCCAGGTGTTGGAGTAATAAGATGCAAAATAAGGTAAATACTGCTCTATAACAAAATTTTGAAGTCACCATTTAACACCTGAGTGGAAAATTGGAAAAATGTTTCTCAATGTCATTCATTCTCTTTGTTTTCTCACTTTTTGCATCATTGCTTGCGACCCATGAGGAAGGGGAATATTACATGTATCTATGTAAGATTGTTGTATGACTAGTCATAGTCTTTACTATCGTATATTTCTTACAATTACTGGCAGAATTCTCCAGATGTTTGTTAGTCAGGGTATTGCAGGGTTGATCTACATGCCATTTGCCTTTGTTCTATCCAATTAGTCTGATGCTATGTAGCCTGTCTGGTTTTATTCTTTGACTTCTTTGCAGCATCTTGATACAATAGAGTTATTGGTTAGGGCATTACAGAGTCAACCATTGTGGAAGTAAAGTCACAGATGTTCCCTAAAGATCATGAATGAACCAGGTGGATTATTAATGAAATCCAGCAGTTTCATAGAGCTGAATTTTACCAGAGATTGAATAGGTGTCAGTTTTGATTACTTTCGTGAAGGATTTCTCTCTGAGCCTTAATAGGTTTTCTCTTGTAGTTCTGCACAGCTTGCCCCATTAGCTGTGTACCATGTCTGTATGGCACCTAGCTCAAACCACCTTCCCTCTTGCCAGCAGCAGAAGTATTCGACTCTGCCAGGATGCCTAAATTCCTGGTGCTGTTGCCATATTTAAAACTGCTGTCATGCATCAAGTCAAGCACTGTCAGTCTGGAAATGCTTTGCATGGCTCTTGTGAACGGAGATGTGGAGGTTCTGGTGGATGGGGTAGTGCAGAGGAGGGCTATCCTTTCTTCTTGGGTCCCTCAGAGGAGATCATAGCATCAGATCCTGCCAGGCTGGTCCAGAGTTACCATCAGGTTCAGTATGATGTTTATGGACTGGAAAAATGCTCAGCTGTGCTGTGAGAAGATCAGTGGCCTCATGGCCTCTCTGAGGGAAAAATCTTCTCTCTGTTTCACATTGTGTCTGTCTGTCTCTCTTTCTTTGTGTTTGCTATCTCTTTCTTTATCTGCACCCACATCCCACCAAAGTCATGGTCTACCACTTTGACTATTGCATGCAGCACCATCCCTCACTCTCACCCACACCAACTCCTCCACACTACTAACTCTGTGCTGCCTACCCACTTCGGACAACTCATCAGGTTTCCCTGCCTGCACCGGCATTAACAACTATGTCAGCTACTTATACCTCACTCAGTACCACCTTTTGCCTCATTCTAGGAGGAAGTGGTCCACACTAGCTACAAATAATGAAACAACAGTGAGTGGAAAAGAACAGTAAAATTAGAAAATTTGTATAATTTGAACAATCAAATAAACCTGGATTTTCCACAGCATTTTCACCCAGATATGTGCAATCTTGGCAGGTTCAAACTAAATAGCTCTCAAGGTGGTGGAATTTTAAGTATTAAGTGCACTTAAACACTTCATAGTGGATAATCTGTCATAATTTATGATAATTCAGAAATCATATGCCACAGAAGTCTCTTGGCTCAAAACTCTCATTGGCCTTAGGTTGGAATGGCGATTCCTGTGTTCACAGGAATCCAGTATCAAATCGTTGGTACCTGCAGTGAGTAGTAGTCAATTGAATCTGGTTCAGATTTGTATCTCCTTGTGTTGCTGTTGCAGTTACTTAAAATTCATTTTAAATAAGTCTAAATTCAGTCAATTGATCTGCCTTGAGTCGTAAAATCTTTGACCAGTAATCAACAAAACTCAAATGTGTTTGTGTCATGCTGTGCCACTACATTTAGTTAATCAACTATGAATTGGAGCCAATTTGGGAAGAATAAGTAAGACCAAGCAGGTCTTGTGTCCTTCCCTCTGAGTCAAGAAGTTTGAGTTGCAGTCCCATTTTAGAATGTGATGGCCACGGACGAGAGTCATGATATATCCGAGTAGGTTGATAAATAAAGACTAAAAACGTCAACTGTTAATTTCTGAATAACTAATTTCCTGGTAATTTCACTGTTATTTGTAGTGCTGTAGGATGCTTTGAATTTTAGGAGATTCTGTGTTGGGCTATATGCTAATAGATTTACGTGGATACGTCAAAGTAGCTTCAATTTGGTAAAACAAGTATCAAGTGCAGCATATTCTTTTGTATGTGTTTCAATTACGCTCGCCATTTTCAAGTTTAAATTTCAAAATGAATTTCAAAATGCATTTATTTGAAAAGATAAATCATTGTTGCATAGATCCACATAGAGTCTCAGCTATGAAAGAAAAACTACGCATTTATTTCAAATCTGCACACTGACTGAAATATTTTTACTGTCCCATATGCCAGGTTGTCATTATTAATAGGAAATCCTTATGAGCAGTGTGACTGCATTGACATCGCTAGATTTAGCTGTGTAAATAATTCCTGTTGCAGGAATCAAAATTTTCATAATATGCAATATTATGTTGTGGACTTCAGTCATCTTACTTTTACAGCAATCAGTGCTGCAGAGTGTCCTATCAGTTGTATTTTGTTCATGGTAGATTTTAATTTACTGAACCAGTCACATTTGAAACTATATATCTTTAGTCATATATAGATTACTAGGTAAACAATGCTTTCTCATAATCACACCCAATTCTGTTTTAGATTGTTTCGTGCATAAAACAGCTTTTTATGAATCTCTGCTATATGTATCATTTGGATAAATACTTTAAGTACAATTTATTGCCAAGAAGACTGAAAAAAACTACTGAAATTCTAGTTCAGATGTTTTTAACTCTTTTATAAAAGAATGAACCTGAGTCTTTAAGGTGTTCCCATGTTTGGTGATCAACATGGGGTAATTTCATTTGAAAGTCTACCTATTTCCATCTAGCTGCGTGATCTTCAGTTAATCTATTCCCTTTCCATGTTCTCTGAGTTGTCTGAGTTCACTAAAAGTAAAGTTTCCATAGTCCCAGAGAACCATACAGCTGGTCTGACATTAGAGAGAGATAAGTGATGGTGGTTTAACCCTCGTGAGGATCCCCAAGCTTCAAATGAGGGGTGAGGTTGAGAAGGTGGGACCTTCGTGATAACCTTAGCCAGTACAAAAATTGAACCTGCACTGTTGGCCTCATTCTGCATCACAAGTTAGTTGTTCAGTCAACTGAGCTAACCAACTATTTGTTCCAAACAAGAGCCATATTAGACTTGAAATTTAACTGTTTTCCTATCTGCAATTGTGCCTGTTGAGTTTCTGCAGCACTTTCTGTTTTTACTTTAGATTTCCAGTATCTGCAGATCTTTGCTTTTATTTGAATTTATCACAATGTGTCTTTTCACTATGAAAAACTAAAACTTTCACTTTTGCTTCTTTCTAGACTTTGTGAACTAGGCCAGTTTGAAATAACGACGGGTGGCTGGGTCATGACTGATGAGGCCAATACGCATATTTATGCAATGATTGACCAGTTGCTTGAAGGACACCAGTGGCTGGAGAGAAATTTAGGTGAGTGTTATTCACAAACTTTTCTTGCATCTTTCAATTTTATATAATTTGGCTGTTGTCCTGTTTCTTTAGGTATGATCCAAGTCTCACCCGCATTTTTGAAGTTGCAATGAATTCACAATCAATATAATTAGAGAATCATAGAATTGCTGCAATGCAGAAAGAGGCCATTCCACCCATTGAGTAATCGTAAAATAACATGTTTAAATTTTTTGCTAGAAGGTCATTTCATATATTTGAAAGTATAAATGTTTTATTTGTTACAGAAAACACACCTTGGCTCAGTGGTTAGCACTGCTGCCTCACAGTGCCAGGGACTCTGTTTGATTCCAGCCTCAGCAACTGTCTATGTGGAGTTTGCACGTTCTCCCTGTGTCTGTGTGGGTTTCCTCTGGGTGCTCCAGTTTCCTCCCACAGTCCAAAGATATGCACGTTAAGTGGATCGGCCATGCTAAGTTGCCCATAGTGTCCAGGGATGTGCAGGCTAGGTGGGTTAGCATGGAACATATGCAGGGTTACGGGGATGGGGTGAGGTGATAGGATACTCTTCGGAGGGTTGGTGTGGACTTGGTGGGCTGAATGGCCTGTTTCCACATTGTAGGGATTCTATGAAAACATTTTAAAATATAGTTAAACTTCATTTGTAATTGGGAGTGAACTGGAAGATATTTTTCATTTGTAGCAATCCTCTTCCTTTGCCCAACAAACCAAACATTTTCAATGTTTTCCTCACACAAGCCATAGAATTTGCTTATTTGTCAGGTTTCTGTTAGAGCTAACTGTGTCACTTGAGCTCTCTCTTGATCCCAACCTAAAAGTTGTTGACCTTATAGCCCCATGTTAGCCCATATTGTAAATGGTTCCTTCTCTTCAGTATTATATTTCTGCTATCACCCTTTTCCTAAAAGAAAACCCACCCCACTTCTTTGTTGTTGAAAATCAACACCTCATCTTCAATCTGATTTACTTTTTTAAAGTCCATCAATGTATTTTCATCTCCCAGTTCTGTGCCCATCCTTTTGCAAATTGATGTTTGAGTCTCACCTAGGTTCCATTCCTGACACAGCACTGAACTGGCCCTTATCAAAATCAATAAATGGTATTCTCTGTGACTGTGAATATCATCTTTCCTTTCTCCTCTTTTTTTGCAGCTTTTGCACTCTATCTCATATCAGGTTCCTCTCACCCATTGTTCACTTACTTACATTCTCTTTTGTTTATTGGATGCCTCTGATTTAAAATTCTGAGACTTGTATTGAAATCCCTGGTGACCCTATCTCTGTATTCTTCTCCACATCTGAAATCTTTTTAAACCACCTCTTTCCTCCAAAACAGAATTTCTTTGTATTTAGGGGAAAATGACAATGTATGCGTTACTGTTACTTATATATTTTTATTAGAGAATACCTGAGCCAGCAGGTATCTCAGAAGGAAGTTATAAAGCATACCCAGAATTGAATTACCTTTAAAGCATATTTAATATTTTAAACATGTGAAACTTACCTCATTCTTGGAAATGTTGGAACAAATAGAGTTGCAGCCTGGGACCAAACGTTATTTGTTTATTAGATTCAAGTAAAATTAACAACAAATAAGTAGGTTGGTTTAAAGAATATTTTATTTGCATGTCTCTTCATGCATAAATTGAATTTCAGATGGCTTTGTTCAGCAAAAGTAGGCATACAAGAGAGCACAACAACAATTTAAAGAAAACTAATTGTCTGCCATGCGGGCAACACAGATCATCAATGTCTACGGATCATGTGCCAAGATTTTATCAGCCTGGTAGTCATTGCCTTCCATGTGTTCATCTCAGAGATGTTTTGATTAATTGATATTCTATTTAGTCACAGAATGTATGTGTTGCTGGCTGGAGCAGCATTTATTGCCCGTCCTTAGTTGCTCTTGAGAAGGTGGTAGAGACCTTCCTTCTTGAATCACTGCAGTCCATTTAGAGTAGTAGCCCCACAATGCCACCGGGGAGGGAGTTCCAGGATTCTTATCCAGCAACACTGAAGGAATAGTGATATATTTCCAAGTCAAGATAGTGAATGTTCCCACGTATTTGCTGCTCTTGTCTTCCTAGATAGTCATGGGTTTGGAATGTGTTGCCCAAGGAGCCTTGAGAAAATTTCTGCACTAGTACACGCTGTGGCTACGCACCATTAGTGGTGGAGGGAGTGAATATTTGCTAATATGGTGCCAATCAAGTGGGCTGCTTTGTTGTGGGTGGTTTCGACCTTAGTGAGTATTATTGAAGCTGCACCCAACCAAGCAACTGGAGGGTATTCTGTCTCATACCTAACTTGTGCATTGTGCATGGTGAATAGGTTTAGGGGAGGTCGGTTACTCACTGCAGGATTCCTAGCCTCTGAACTGCTTTTGTAGCTACAGTGCTTGTATGGCTAATCTAACTGAGTTTCTGGCCAGTGATAACTGAGAGGATGTTGATAGTGGGAATTTGGCAATGATAATGTGATTGAATGTCAAGGAGTGATGGTTAGATTGTCTCTTGTTAGACATGGTCATTGCCTGGCACTTGTGGGCTAGAAATAAACTTGCTACTTGTCAGACCACACCTGGATAATATCCACATCTTGCTGCAGTTGGACATAAACCTCTTCAGTGCCTGAAGAGCCCTGAATGGTGCTGAACAATGATGACTGCTCAATGAAAATTCCCACTTCTGAGCTTATGATGAAGGGAACGTCATTGATGAAGTGGCTGATCATGGTTAGGACAAAGACATCCTGGACCTGAGTTAACTGACTGCCAACAACCACACCCATCTTCCTTAGTACTATGTACGACTCCAAACAGCAGAGGGATTTCCCGCTGATTCTCATTGACTCCAGTTTTGCTGGGGATCATTGATGCCACACTTGGTCAAATGCGGCTTTGATGTTAAGGGCAATTACTCTTACTTTACTTCTAGAATTAAGCTCTTTTGTCCAGTTTGAACCATGTTTGTTGCAGCTGTACTGGAACAGCTTGACTAGAGGTGTAGCAAGATCTGGAGCGTAGGTTTTCAGTACGACTGTAAGAATGTTGTTAGGGGCCAAAGTCTTTGCAGTATCCAGTGCTCCATCACCTGGTGTCAATCAAATTGGGTAAAGACTAGCATCTGTGATGCTGGGAACCTCTGGAACAGATTGAGATGGATGATCCCCTTGGCACTTCTGGTGAAGATTGTTGCGATTGCGAATGCGTGAGCCTCATCTTTTGCAGTGATTTTCTGGTCTCCCCATTATGGGGGAGAAAAGAGGGTAATTTGAAAAAGACTGGCAGCTAATTTAAAAGGAAATCCCAAGTCAATGAACATATCAATAATCAAATGGTGGCAAAAGGAGAAGTATGGCAGATTAGGGACCAAAAAGGATTTGTATGGTGATAGAGGCATGGCTGATGTGATAAATTAATACTTTTTCTTCGGTCATTACTCATGTCCAGGCCATGGTGATGAAGACGGAAACTCAATCGCTAGAAGGGTTTAATCTTAAAAAGCTGGTGTTATTGGATAAGTTATCCAAAATTGAAGTAAGGCATCAGCACTGGATAAGATGCATCTGAGTGCATTGAAGGAAGTAAGAGTGTAAATTGCAGATCCACTGACAATTGGTTTTCAATCTTCCCTGGATTTGGGGTGGTGCCAGAGGATTGGAGAGATGTTGATAAAGCATACTATTCTAGAGTTCATTAATAAGTGGATAAAGTGCAAGATCAGCAAGTTTATGACGCATTTACCTAAGATACTAGTTAGTTCTCAGTTGGAGTATTGTGAACCGTTCTGGGTGCCTCATTACAGGAAGGATGTGAATGTGTTGGAGAGAGTGCAGGAGAAAATGAGAATGCTTCCAGGGATAACACACACTTCAGATATGAGGAAAGATTGAAGATGTTGGGACTGTTTTACTTGGAGAATACATTTGATAGAAGTTATTTAAATCATAAGTAGCTGGACAGAGTAGACAAGGAGAAACTTCCCACTTGTAAAAAGATCAAAAATCAGAGGGTACCATTTTAACATCTTTTTCAAAAGAAGAAAATGCGAGGGAAGAAAACTGTTTTCATACAGCAAGTAATCAATGTCTGGAATGCATTGTCTGGAGTGTGCCGGACAGGGGAGCAATTAAGGTATTCTGGAGGGCATTGATGGTTATTTAAATGGAAAAAATATGCAATTACGGGTAAAAGGCAGCAGATTAGCACCATGTTAAAACGCCCAAATGTCCTCCACCTGCACTGAACGATTCTGTGAGGTTCAGGCTCAGGGACTACAAGCTACAAATCTCATGAATTATCCATGAATTAAAAATGACAGTTGTTTGACAGCATCATAGAGAACTACAGCACAGAAAAAGACCCTTTGGCCCATCGAGTGTGCTGTGGTCGAAAACAACCACCTAACTATTCTAGTCCCATTTGCCAGCATTTCTGCAACTACCATTGTTACAGGTGATGAGTTCTCGATTCCCACCACTCTCTGATGGGAATTTTTTTCCTCATGTCACCTCTAAACCTCCTGCCCCTTCTGTTAAATCTATGCCCCCAGTCATTGATCCCTCCAGCAAGGAGAAAAGTTTCTTCCTGTCTGCCCAATCTGATTTTATACATCATTTCAGCATAATTGATACATCATGTTCCCTGTCAGTTTCCTCTGCTCCAAGGAAAACAACCCAGTTCATCCAATCTGTCTTCAAAACTTCAACTCCCCAGCCCAGGCAACACCCTGATAAATTTACTCTGCACCCTTTACAGTGCTATCACATCCCACCTATAATGTGGATTTGAGAACTGCGCACCATAGTCTCTGGACTAACCAATGTTTTAAATAGTTTCAATATAATCTCCCTTAAACTCTGTGCCTCAACAAATAAAGGCAAGTGTACCATTTGCCTTTTTAACCACTTTATCCACCTATCCTGTACCTCAAGGCCCCTCTGATCATTGATGCTTCCTGGACTCCTGTGGTTCTTCATATATTCCTTTGCTTTGTTGAT